CACAAATGCGGTGCAGCAAAATAACCCAGGTTAAAAATGTTTAGGCATGTTAAATTAATGAAGATCAAACACCGTGGCATGTACAAACACTCTAAAAACCTGAATCAATAATACCCAGCTGCTAACAAATTTCACTTCTCCAGCCCCTACTGACCTTGCCAAAATAAGGAAAGTGGAAGTAGAGACAAAACAGATTCTTCCTCAATGTAGGCATGGTGCTGTCTGGATGGAAGACACCAAGACAGAGACCACCAGTTACCTTCCTGCTAGATGACTACATTGCTTTGTATGTGACAGTTTACAAGGCTTAATCATGCTGTCTGGTCAACCACTATCTTTATTGTTATAGATATATTAGAATTCAGATTCAGTTCTCTGTACACATTTGTAAGGTTAGGAAGGTCTGTTTTTTCAGAGCCTGCAGAGAGACAGGAGGACTGCAGTGGGTTCTCTTGTAAATTGAAATCCAGTATACATTTTCTACCCAAGGAGGCAAGTAGTTTCTGAGTAGTTCTGTGGGGTAAGTGAAGTGTGGTTGTAGTCTGGGCCAGAAGGGCTATATTTTAAGTTCCTTTTTCTGTCTGGCTTTTGGGATGCCTTTTCCACATGGAGCAGGACTAGCCTCAGGGACAAAGGCCTGGGATATTGCCAGTGGAGGCACAAGATCTTTCTCACTCATTGTCTAACCCTGTATTTCCCTTGAGATGCCTGCTTGCAAACTTCTTTGGACAGGGATGCCATCTCTCCTTCCTGAGGTCATTTCCACCAGTTTTAAATTCTCCTGCAGTCTGAGGCGATTCCATGCTAGCTCCCCTCTGTGAGCACAGGGCAGGAAGTGTTCAAAACAAATCCACAGAAACCAGAAAATCCCTGATCTCTGCATTATCCCATCCCTGGTCTCTTGATGTGGTATGGCTTTTTCCTTTATGTTTCTTTTAAGTCATGCTTTGATCAGCCTTATAACTGTCCAGGTTTTAATGTCTGGTTTCCCTGTCTCGGATTTTTAGTTTTCTATTGGTCTTGGCACTCTAGCCAGGAGGTTCACCATGGCCATTCCTTATTAGGACATAAGTCTTGATTTTCTGTGAGCCCAGTTAACTGCTCTGGTTCAGCTTTTGACTACTGGAAGCTACTGAACATGACTGTGTCCAGTTTGAAAGAGAGAAGAACGTGAGGGGTTCTTTTTGAACTCCATGAAAAGACCTCAGTGGGATCAGTGAGTTGGTTATGCCTCTGGCTCAGTTAAATAGCAGGAAGTACAGGTACATGTTTGGAGATTCAGAGAGCTGTTTAGGTTAAACATAGAAGTCTCATGGAGGCAGCAGAGACATGTGGACCAAGCCCTGAGAACGGCACAGGAGCCAATGGGGGTTTCTACAAATTTATGTATTCTGGGCATTCAGCTCACAGGCTAATGGGCTTAGGAGACTGGGAACACTCGGTGAGTTATAAATACATATCCTGCCTGGATGTTTTACACTTAATATTTTAAATCCCAAGGGTCTGTGAGCACTTCTGTCTCATATAAAGCCTTGGAAAATTGCCTAGCTTCACTTTGGTGTTCAGCTGGCTAAAGGCTACAATAACTGCATCAACAGTTAAATCCTCATTCAGCAAATAAAATGTGCTGTTGCCTTTGATATAAGCAAGCTTGCTATCATGTAGCATGTGAATTTTCTTCCTGTATCTTAAACTCAGTTAGAAAATGTTGCCCCTGCTTTTAGCACATCTTTAGATAAACCTGTACCCATGGCATTATGTCTAGCCCATGTCATAAAATCATAGAAAATTAGGGTTGGAAGGGACCTCGGGAGGTCACCTAGTCCAACCCCCCACTCAAAGCAGGACCACGCCTACTGTCATTCCAGCCAAGGTTTTGTCTAGCCTGGTCTTACAACCCTTCAAGGATTCCACAACCTCTCTGGATACCCTGTTCCAGTGCTTTAACTACCCTCCTAGTGAGAAAGTTTTTTTCCTAATATCTAACCTAAACCTCCTTGCTGCAACTTGAGACTATTGCTCATTGTTCTGTCATCTGCCACCACTGAGAGCAATCTAGCTCCATCCTTTTTGGAACCACTCGTCAGGTAGTTGAAGGAAACAGCATGAGGCTAGTGGTACGGACTTCAAGTTATTTGGATTATCCTTTTTATTTGACTGGGTTTAATAGGTTAGGCATGTTTAAAGAAGGATTTTCATATTGGGAGAAATCATTTTAGAAGGATGTGTACCCTTTGCTCTGATAGGATAGTTTGATTTGAATATAATTTTTAGTTTAATTATGATGATCATTAACTTAATGTTTTTGTTTTCATTTGCTCTTGCAGCGATGTTGTGATTTTGTTGCATATGTAGATCTAACAGGTGTGTCCATGCATGCAAGCACGTGCGAAGTGGTGGAAATTTGAGCCAGGGCTTTTTTCCTCAGTGCACATGCCCGGGCATGCACTTTGGTGTGGTACAAGTTGTGCCACTTGGGGCACAATAACCCTGCCTGGCTTCTCCTGGATCTGTAGCCAGGGGGAGCTAGAGCCTGGGGCCTGCACCTGGACTGGTCCCATTAGTACAAAATACTGCTCTAGTAAGTAGCTCAGGGCTACTCGCTCTCAGGAGCTTCTGGGGCCCAGCCAGTTGGTACCTGGGGACACTACCCCTTATTCCAGCTGGACTGCTGAAGCACCCCTGAACATTCCCTTCACCTTTTACCCACTGCAGCAGTCTGGCAGTGCAGGCTGCTGCCTGGCTGGGACCTGCTGTGCTCCTACCAGATCCGGATGGGGACTGTCACTGTCCCACTGACCCCATCCCTCACCAGCTCTTGCTGCCCCACCCAGCCTCAGCATCCTGGCAATTAAAAAAAAAAAAGGGCCACAGTCACCCCACCCCACCCCCTACTTACTGGCACAGAGACCGGGTCCAGCTCCCTGCAGCTGGCATACTGCCTACCCTGCATGGGCAAGCAGCGTACTTCAGCACCAGGGTGAGGGCCAGCCATAGAGATATGCTGGCTGGCTACCAGAGCATCTCTGTGGAAGACCAAGCCTCCAGCTGCCTCAGAGTGCACTTGCCCCCTTTTCAAAATATGTGTAGTAAAAATGGGACCATGCCCTGCCCCATTTTTTTTGTCCAGGGTATTTTTTAACCTCTGGATATCCAGGGATCTAATTTTGCCCCTGCACTGCAAATTTGCAGCGTGGGGAATGTTTTTATGTTCCCACATGCGCCTCTTGCAGCATCTCAAAGGGGTTTGAGACGCTGCAAGAGGCACGCTTGTCTGGACATGCCGAATGAGATTATTTACTCTGAATGTATTAGCTGATGATTCCAGCCTTTGTTTAGGTTTGTGAATTGCTTTTATGGTAATTTGATCTCAGCTACTATGTTCCGTCTTTGTGATTATTTGCAGGATCTTGAAAGGAAACCAACACTAGCTTTTAACTTGTTTAATGCTCTGTTTGAATATATGTTAAGTATGATGTGTGAGTTATTTATTGATTGGATGCCTGGAATTTTTAAAACCAGAGAACAGTGTGAAGAAAATATTACAGTTTCCAGTGCTAATTTTCACTTCAGTGCTAAAAATGTATGGTATTTGGGGAATTTACACGTTCTTTCAAGCAGAAACCAGTGGTCACTTGAATACTTGCAGACATGGGGATCTGATTGAATCGTAGTTCTCATTTTCATCAGTGGTTATTTCTGAAAGCTGGCACTGTGTATCAGCTTTCATTTTTAAGAAAGTTTCTAGCCTTCTTAAATGCAGCAAAAAGCTTAAAAATATCACCTCTGACATCATCTGCAGCCAGAGGCAATTTAAAACCACCCCCAACACTTGTTATTTTTAAGCAAGTCTCATGATCTGGGGATGGGTAGGACTTGACTTTTGATTTTGAGAGGTGTTGGGTTGTCAGTGAAGGACAGCAGAGTGCATTTGCCCCCTTTTCAAAATGTGTGTAGTAAAAATATTTGTCTTTATGCTGTTTGGCTAACTAACCATTTTTTATACAAGATCTCATGGGGATGTGGGAGGTGGGTCTCAGCCTGTTTAAAGCACTGATTCAACAAAAGCAGAAGTGACTGGGAAAATCTTGAAAACTTTCTTTTTAAAGAGGAAGTTTTGCTTTGTTATGGAGGTGGCATAAATTATATTTTCTTCCAGAGAAATGCTAAAATCGTGAATGAGAAGAATAATACATTTTTTATACTTAAAGAGTGTGTTGAGAGAGCAGGCCTGTAACTTGGATTGTGACTGGTGGGAAAAAGCATTGTGGATAAACAGCTCTGTTTTATATATAAAACAGTATGAACAAAGCCTTCGTGAGTCAATATTCAGTAGGAAGGTATTGTGGGGTCAAAAAGTAACTGTCATTAGGCAGAAGTCTGCCTTTTGCTTTCTTAATCTATCCTTCCACTTTCCTTCAATAGCTTCTATCCCTCCAAAGGCCTTTTATTTCTTAGTCAAGAGGGGAGAACAAAACAACAAGAAGCATGTTTATTGAACTGGGATGAAAAGGCTTGGATTAGACTGGCAGCAGGCTAGGAGGGTGATTGACAGTTTCACATGAGTTGTCCTGGAGTAAGCTGGACTTCCCCCACAGGCATTTATATTTGCTTGAGATTAGACATAAAATATTCCACCTCTAAATCTACCATCATAAAATGCCATTGTGACATCTTAGACCAAACAGGGGAACTATGTTATATTTCAGCATGAACTCAAATACTGCAAGTGTACAAAGTTTTGTAAAGATTTAACACAATATTAATCAGACTTCTGTTCATGCCTTTGAAATACCACATTATTTTTCCTCCCTTATCCTCTTTTTTCCTGTAAAAAAAAGAATGAAATGCACTAAATTATTTAATGAGACTAAATTTGTCTTCAAACATGTCCCTTAGAGCTGTCCTGGAGTTATATTCTTCATGATATTGCAGCTGTGGTCGGGTTGGGAAAAGGCACATATTATAAGGAGCTTTCTATTTTTTTCTCTCTCTCAAAGGTGTTTACAAAATATGGGAAATGCTACATGTTTAACTCAGGAGAAGAAGGGCGGCCTCTGCTTACTACAGTCAAAGGTGGGACAGGCAATGGATTGGAACTCATGCTGGACATACAGCAAGATGAATATTTACCAATATGGGGAGAAACAGGTAAGAGCAAATGTTAATTCCTTTAGCTAATGATGTGAGTTGGTTGCAGATGTACTTGTACCAGCTTTGTTGTCTCTTCCCATTGCCATGGGCTAAGGAATTCCACTCACCATCAATAGCCAAAGCCTGTTTTAGGTTTCAATTTTAAAAGTTCTGAAGCTTTGCAGAGAGCATCTGAGCTTTACAAATGCAGGTGGAACTTAAAAGTGAAGTTGACTACCCAAAACTCAGGGGCAAGAGCAAGTTCAGTGGTTTATTCTGAGGACTTGCTTTCCAGCTTGGAAATATTCCCCACTTGCTAGGCTATCTTCCAGTGAGAGTCATAACTAGCTATTCAGCACTCTGGGCAGAGCAGGTGGGGGGTGCAGGAGGGAGTACAGGAGAACATGGGAGCAGTGGGGCACTGGAATGGTGGCAGGAGCCTGGAATGGTGGAGTGGCAGGCAGTTTTACCTGCTTTGGCCTGGGATCACCCATCAGCTAGTCTGGCAGGGTGCTGGGAGCTGGAGGGGATAGTGGCACTGGTGATGGGACCCATAGAATCATAGAATTGTTGAAAAGTAGGGATGTAAGGGACCTTGAGAAGTCATCGAGTCCAACCCTCTGCCAAAGGCCAGCACAGGGCAAAGGCAGAATCAACAGATATCTGGTAATGTCCTTCTTTTGTTTTCTTAATGGGCTGATAAACTCTGAATTAGGGGTGATAAACATTTCCTGCTGGGCTGGGCTGGTCAGGAGTAGGGGGAACCCCTCACTAATCATAGCGTCCTACCGGAGCCTGGCCGCAGCCCGTCCTCAGCTCAGCTCTGTACAAGGGAAGGGAGGGTTGCTCCAGTGCCCCACCCAGCTTCTAGCTTGAGCCACTGCAGGCATGTGCCTGCATTTCTGGGGTGTCTGCCTGGTTACAAAACTGATTGAGCCTAGCCATGTTAGACTAACCTTCAAAGACTGAATCAATTCAGGCTCAGGCTTTTTGAATGTCTGTCGCTAGTCTTAAAGCCTGCACATGTGTTTGATCTACACAAGAGACTTTACTGCACAGTAGACTAATGTACTGTGCAATAAAGCTTCACCATCTACATGTATGCAGCATTTACTGTGTGGTAGATTAGTCTACTGTGAAGTTGCCTCCTAGTTGTAAATACAGGTTGTGGCAGGCCAGTAGGGGTTGCTCCTGTGCTGAGCCACCCACCTTACTGCACCCAACCACCTTACAGGCTCTGAGTGCTGCCCTGGGGCTGCCTCACATCTGGCCAACCCCCTTCCTGGAGCACACCCACTAGCCTGGGGGTAACGCTGCCACCACCCAGAGTCCGGACTGATCCTGGACCTGTGCCCTCTGGGAAGCACAGGCCTATTAGCCCTTGAGGGTACTTGACCCACTACAAGAACTTGGGGTGCTTCCCTCAGTCTGAACCACAAATAGTGGTCTTCCTTAGTCAGCTGAACCAAGAGGACCCCAAGGCATAATCTATACCCTCTCCCAATAATTCTCCCACACTAGGTAAAACGGAGAACTTTACTGGTTACAAGGAGAAGGTTTGGAATAGGGTACAGCAGTATCGGAGAAATCCCTTACAGCAAAGTGGCATGGTAGCCTTTGATTACACATCTGTGTTACTGCAAGTTATATATCTAGTAAGCTCTCCAGTAGCTTACTCATGAGTATCATCCAAAGGCAGGTGGAGATTCCCTCTGGAGGCAAACAGTTCATTGATCATGAGTTTCAAGAGAGAGAGAATTTCAGATGGTCCAGCTTCTCTCCGTGAGTTTTCATCATGGCTTTTGCCCCTCCTCCTGGGCAGTCCTTCACTTATATAGCCCTTATGACCTCATTTAGCTGATCCAATGAAGACCAGCAACTGTTGGCTGCCAGCCAACCAATCTGAAAGGCATCACTGGTTTCTGGATATACTGGCAAGGTCTTTAGCCCCCTCCCAGTAATGTTGGCATTGCTTAGAACAATAAGGAGCTTTAGCCCCCCACCCAGGTATGCGATACCAGTCACATAGGCAGAAGAAGCAGGTTTTCCCCCTCCCTCAGGAATATATCCAGCTCAGGTTACAACTCAGGGTCAGAGGTGTCTGCCCTCTGCAGTGGCCATGGTAACCAAATCGTCAGATAGCAGAGTTTTGGGGAGAGACAGAGATGGTATTCTGCAACACAGGTAGCAGATTAACCACACAGTAACTACTGTGCAGTAGCACACATGTAGACAGCAGGGGGCAGGGAAACTATCCCTTCTCCAGGCAGTTGCTTCCCAGCCTCATGTTTTGATTGGAAGATTGGGGCATGGGGTGGGGAAAATGTCCCCTCCCCTGGCTGCTGCTTCCTAGCCTCTGCTGATTGGGGCATGGAGCTGGGAAGCAGTAGCCAAGGGAAGGGGACATTTTCCCCACCCCATTACCCTGATCCACAGATTGGGGCACAGGGCTGGGAGGTAGCTGCCCCAGAGGGGGCTTTTGACACTGAGAGATCTAATTAAAGTGCCCATAGCATCACATGTTTTCAGTGTCCCACACTTCAAAATGATGGTAGGGGCACTTGAACTAAAGCTCATTTGACAAGCTTTACTTCAAGTGCTCCTGCCACCATTTTGAAGTGCAGAGATGCTGAATAGATATTAATTAACATGCTCCAGCACACTTGATTAATCTAGTTTCTTCCAACGCATGCTAATTAGTATGTATTAGGAGCAGAGATCTGGCATGTGTACAGGTACCTTCCAATGTGAGGTACTAAATAATGCTCATTAGACTGCACTAATTTGCATACTTTTTTAGTGATGCTTAATGAGCAGTAGACTACTTTACTGCACATTAGCATAATGTCACTTTTTTTACATGATGCTTTAATGAGCAGTAAAATAGTCTACTGCGTATTAATGTGTAACAGCTGCAAAATTAATCTGGCTTCAAGCCAAGTGAGTGTTTGGGGCTTAAGAGCTCTGCAAGAGAGGGGGCAGCAAAACTTTGCAGAGGGTGCACAAGTCCTACCAGATAGCAGCATGATGCATGCTTCTTATTGGCATGTTTAAATTGTGACCAGAGACTGCATTGCAAACTGGGGGCTCTGATTGGCTGCTACTAAGTCATAAAAGCTGAGGGAGGGAAAGTTTGGAGATGAGGGAAGTAGCAGACCCCAGTCCCGGAGAGGTCAGGGAAACTCAGCCCAAGTCAGGGGAGACCATGCTGAAACTTGCCCAGAGAGCATCAGGGCAAGGGAGAGCCTGTGACATCCCATGAGAAGCTGATCCCACTCCAGGTTCAGAGCTGTGTAGCCAGAAACACATGTGCCAGGGAAACAGTTGGAAGGGATCCTGTGAAGGGCTTAGGGAGGGGTTGGTAAGCAAGGTTCATAGCCTCAATGGGACTGGGAGAAGCAGCAAAGCCCTTAGGGTGTTAGGGACCTTGTCCACGTTGCACTTTTCCTGTTTCCACATGACAAAAATTGCCATTTTGCTATCTTAATCACATGTGAAGATCTACAATGTCACCTTGTGTTACCATGTTAGTCATCTTTTTATCATGGTAAATGAAACCACCTCCGGCATGTTTTATTTTTAGTGGGTGAATTTGTGCCAAGAGGATTATTTTTATCGTATTATTTTTTCAACGTGTATCTCTCATATGGGCGAAAGTGGCATTTTCCCTGCCTTGCAATGATTTCACCACCAGGTGCCACTTGGGTTCACTCAGAAATCCATGAAATTTCTGTTGCAGTGTGTCAAATATCTAGTTAAGTACCACCCCTCCCCCCCCAAGAGTCTTTGCTTTTCTACCCACTCTTGGTTTCAGGGTAGAAGTGGTTATCTCCTTTTTTTCTCTGACTGGCCTGTTGTTTTCTCTTTCGATAAAGAAGTGTGTGTGTGTATATATATATATATATATATTCTGTTTATATCCCCATAGGACCTCAGTCTGTCAACTGATGTCAGGGACGAATCCCAACTGGAGGTCCACACACCCACATCCTCTCCTGCCACGACTTGGTGTTTATAGGCATAGATTCAGTACCTGGGCATGTAGTTCTAGTTGCTTGTCATCTACTGTCCTATGTTCCTGAGGGCTCCACCATCCCCTACACCCTCACCCGTGCCACCGGGTATCAAATCATCCTTTCGTCAATGTTCGGCCATCGGGTTCTTTCCCGGGGCCTCTGTCAAAAAAAAAAGAAACCAAGCAATCCCGTCCTGGATTATTGTTCCCTATCTTTTTTGGGGAAAAAAATATATATATATTCGGTGAGGTCACTTTCTCCTTCACCTGTTCCCGTCTTTACGGCAGCTCTTCACGAGCCTCTTATTGGAATTATTACAATCCCCTCACCCCACTGGGTCTGCCATTGATCATTTGTCCTTTCACCCCTTTTAGGGTCTTTACGGTACCTTTCTTCCAGAATGCCCCTCTATTAGGGTTTTTACAGTACTTTCCCCAGCCCAAGCAGTACCTGGTACTGCCACTCCACCAATCCTTCCTCTAAGTCTTCTCTGGGGAGGTCCCTCTCTGCAGGAGCCTCCTGTTGGCTCTCCAGGTTGCTCTCAAGTTTTCCCGCAATGTTGCTCGACCCGGCTCCTCTCCTTCCAGTCCTGCACCCTCCCTTCCTGCCTGCTCCAGGCTCTTCTTTATAATGAGGTTTGAATTCCCAGCCCCTCACCTCCAGAATCACCTGGTGCAGGAGTATTTCTGCCGGGTTCTTTGGGGCTTTGGGGCTGGTGCAGCTGCTTCTATCTTTGGCCAGTGCTCCTTTGCCCCCTGTGGCTCTCTCTCTCTCTCTCACAGTGCTGCAGCAAGACACTAGGTGCAAGTATTGCAAACCTTTACTGGTGATTTAATTCAAGGTTCAGGTTAATGAAAAAAACAACTTCTTTGGATTCCAAAAAATATTGTTCCCCATAGTCACATGCACTTCACCCCAACTTTTCTAATGTTCCTTGCATGCCCTGCTTTGCTGCCTCTCCCCTCCTCCTGACCAGTGGTGGCTGACCCCACACCTTTGGAG